ACCCAGGTGCCAGCTGCAGTAGCAGTAAGGAGAGAGCTGTGAAAAGGAGTAACACTTGGACTTCAGGGCTCAGTACTGAGTGGAAGACAGAACCAGCTAGGTGGTCAGGGCGCCAATACTGCAGAGTAGACTGTGCAAAGTCAGCTCTTTAGGCAGCCTACTGTGTGTGTGTGTGTGTGTGTGTGTGTGTGTGTGTGTGTGTGTGTGTGTGTGTGAATGTGTGTGTGTCCATGTGTGGGTATGCATGCCCATGCATGGACTTCAAGTGTCTTCTATTGTTCCCTGCTTTAATCCTTTAAGACAGAGTCTCTCACTGAACCTGGAGCTCGTTGCTTTTCTGCTAGTCTGACTGGCTGGTGAGCCCTGATGATCCAACCTCTCCTCCCAGTCCCCAGCCCTGGGGTTATAGGTGCACATGGCTACGCCTATCTTTTTATATGGAAACTGGGGATCTAAACCCAGGACCTCACACTTGCATAGCAAGCGCTCTTATCCACTTAAACATCTCTCTCCCCAACTTGGGAAGTCTACTTCTGACCCCAAGGACAGCTGCCCCGTGGCCCTCCCCTTACTCCCAAACCACTACAGCTGAAAGGCAACTCAGCCACAGGGGCTCCAGCTGGCCCTGCAAGGTCCTTCATTTCACCTCCTTAGCAGCCTGCAGCCCTGGCAGGGCTGAGTCATGGAAAAAGTTAGCTCTGCGGGCTGCAGCTCACCTCTCCCATCAAGCCCACAAAGGCTCCTTTCACGTTGTCAGCAGGGGAGTGAAAAAGTGTGGGGCCCTCCGCCCTAGCCTGGGATGTGAAATTTCAAACTGCATTCTGGAGTTGGATTCCACACCTCCTACCTCAAGGAGATAGAGAGGAGGGGTACCAAGGGATGGAGAGGGGGGTGCATGCTCCACCTCACAATGTTCTCATTGAAGCCAAACCACAGAGACCCTCAGGACCAGCCTGCTGAACTGTGTACTCCTAGCCCAGCCTTCCTTCACCCCTGTCTTCCTGGACACTTGAGGGAAGGGCAACACAGAAGGTGACAGCTCCTCTCTGGGCAGCTGATGCTGGAGGAAGCCTGAGGCTCAGAGATACCAGGGCGGCAAAACCCACTTCCTAAAGGCAGACCATGCAGAAACAGGGCCACCATGGACCTTGGGCCAGTTTCTGGACCTGCCAAACCTTTTGGATTTGCCTGGTGTGCTCTTTTCTTCCCCTCTCTGACTCCAGCCTGGACATGACAGGATCATCCTGTATGGTCTTGCATAGGTTGCTTACTTAGATCTGCTGGGCCTGTTTCCTTCTGCTTTGAATGGGAACCTTGAAACCCACTTCCCTGGACCATTCAGGAAATTAAATAAGAAGGTGTACAGGACATGTGTGACGATCCATTGGGGTTCTGAGTCTCCTTACACCTATGACCTGCCCTCTGTCCCAAAGACACACCCACGGGTCATGGTCACTTAATAGGTCTGGGTATGGATATTGGCTGGAATAAACATGCTTGTTTGTGTGAACTTCTGGACGTCTGAGTATTAGCAACTTCTACTATGAAACAGGATATGATATGTATAAGCCCTTTTAGGCCTGGGGTGTTAACCTTCTATAAAGAGAAAAGGACTAAGCAAAACTTAGCAGGACCACGGTGCTGGAGGCTGGAGCAGCTTGGAGGTGCAGTGTCCCATTTTGGCCACTAGGAGGCTCCAAGGATAACAGATGAGCACAGAGAACATGCAGGCGCTGGGGTCTCCCTAGTTGGAGTCCTCCATACAGGCCTTGGCAACTGTGCTAGGCAGGAAGGGCCTGACTCTCCCACATAGGGATTTCTTTCCCATTTTTATAGACTTGGAAGATGGAAAGAAATGGTCACCATGGTGGGGTCGTGTATAAGCAGTGCCTTGGGAGCTAATAATGAAAGCAATGGCCTGCCCTTCACAGTCCTTCTGGAAAGCAGAATGGAGCCTGTAGGGAGTCTCCTAGCAGTGTTTTGGCCAAGCCTGGTCCTCCACCTCTCTCATGCCTTCTTGCCAGAGTTGGGTGGGGTGGGAAGAGGAATTAGGTCTGGACTCTATCCCTCCCTCCTGCACTTCCTGGCTGGGTAACCTGGGAAAAAGGATGTTAATGTCCCCTACTTCAAGGTCAGTTGGTAGAAGGGAAAATGTCAGAATACAGGCTTCCACACGGGACACTGCTTCCTAACCCCTTCCAACCTTTTGCTCTACCAGCAATTCCAGGTTCTCTTGCCCAGCTTCTCCCCAGATCCACAGTGGTTTGCAAAAGAGATGACCCCTACCATCTTCTCCAAAATAGTTCTAGAAGGGAGCATTCAAAATGTCTGTGCACCCAGGCCTGCTAGATTAGTCTTTGGAGGTGAGGCCCAGAATTCCCAGCCTGAACACGTCCAGGGCTGGAAAGGGCTGCCCCAGATTACAGGGCAGGCTCCCTGGCCTGTCTCTCCTTCAGCAGCAAGTCCCATCAACACTTTTAACTGGGGCTGCTATTCGTGACTCACCTCCCAGACTTCCTGCAACAGGCAACTCTAAATAGCTTGGTCCCACCCTCCAGCAGGGAGACGTTCTTGCAAGGGGTGGGCAGGAGGTTATAAAGTGGGTGCCCAAGAGGGCAGGGTCAGAGGGACCCAGAGAGAGGAGGGGCTGCATGCACAGAGCTGGGGCGCAGGTTTGAAGACGTGTTGTTTACAGGCTTTTGTTATTAAGGAAATTGATGTCAGTCAAGGTAATTCTAGCCCAGATGAGCAATAAATAATGCTCCCAGCTAATCTTACAGGGATTTTATTGGCACCTGGGGTTAGAGGTTCCTTTACCCTGCCCCCATTTCCTTCAAAGCAAAACCCTATGTGCCCCCGCCCCCAACTCCCAGGTGTCTCTACCCCAGCAACGTGGGAGACTCCACGTTGACCCAACTTAGAAACTACACGCTGTGAAGATGAAAAACGACCGGGCAAAGATGGGGAGTGGCTTCCTGGTCCTACCTGGATGCAGGGGGCGGGGGATGACCAAGTGACCTGAAATGACCCCTGGGCGACCCGGTTGGATCAAGGCATGCGCGAGAGCTGCCCCTCGGCTTGCCCCGCGCGCACCAGGGTGGTCACCTGGTCCGGGCTGGGAGGAATGTCTGGTGGAGCAAGCTGGCTCACTGGAGTCGGTTCCAGCGTGTTCTTCTTGAGTTCCAGCTGCGAGCCCTCAGGGACACCCGGCAAGTCCCGGCTTGCAGAAAACAGCAGCCAGTCCCGGGAGAGTGCGAGTCGCAGCGAGCCGGGTGCGCGCCCAGGCGCGTGCCCCGCCAGGGCGCAGGGGGAGGGGAAGTCGCCGCAGCCACTCAGAGGAACGGTAGTGAAGCCTCCCAACAACTTTAACTGTCAATCAGACTTAATGGGGTATTAAAAAAAAAAAAAAAAAAAAAGGGGGGGGCGCCCCCCCGGCCCACGCCCC